ACAAGTAACAACTCTGAGGGAATAATATTCGACAACACATCACAAGTCTCCATGGGAGTAATCACACCAACACACCATCAGCTTTAAACGTCTCTCGGCTTGGCGGTCCAGCGGCCTTAACAGCCTTGGCCTTCGCTTGAGCCCGGGCGTAGCGAAATCTGCAAAGACGAATTAATCACCCCTCCGACTCGAATCGAACTATGGCCTTGACCAAAGCCACATCATTCGTAACTACCCAGGAGGCAGAAGGCGGCCATTTGGCGCGAAAAGCGGTCGTTCCGCTGCCACTCGTGGCTGCTGCCAAGGCTGTGAATGCTGCCATACCGAGGACGTTGATACAGAGGTCGAAGAGGTGCTTGAATAGGTCCAGGGAAGGGCAGGAGCCTAACCAACAACACGTCGTCCCTCGTCCAGCCACAAGCTCATCGTCCCCACCGTAGTCGATACCGAGGAGGCCGCTATCTGTTCATACCAGCTAGCAGCCTGGCCCGACTGCTCCCACTCGGCCCTCTCATATCGACTTCTATGCCTGAGCAAACTCCCTACCCCTCAGCCCTCCAGAACAGCCATTACCTCTGACCAGCAATGTGACCCTCTAGAGATGACCACGCCTGGGGCCGAGCATCACAAAGTGTACAATAAAAACAGTCCGGCCTCAGTTCAATGAATTTAGGTAGATCCTCCTGCTTAATTACGGGAGAGTTACCACCACTCCCACCCTCACCCGTCGGCACTACAGCTGCCGAAAGGTCCTCCTTAGAAGGCGACTAAAACACTCAAATTCGGCCCTTCACTTCAAGCCACTACAATACGTTCGTGAGCTGCATATCCTCAATAGCCTTCATTCGAGCTTCATCAGGTTGCATTTCCATCCACCTAAGATACCGTTGGTGCTTCTCAGACTGCAGATGGGTGCTCATAATGTCAAAGGAAATACTCGTCTTCTTCCGGCACAGCTCACAGTAGAGCCAGCCCTTCTCTAGACCTGCAAAAATATAGTCGAAAAAAACACAAGTAGATTATCACCATAGTATTTCTCCCCGTCAGACAGACCAATGAAGTTGTTCTCAAGAATGGCCCGCTGGCTTGCGGGGAGCTCATCATACTCCTTTTGAGGATCCCAATCAGGGGGCATATCCCATGACGAAGACGAATAGTCTATAACAACACACTTTTACTCGAGCAGTAACCGTGCTGTTCTGGCAAGCGGAAGGTCCCCGGTTCTATCCCTCCAACAACCACATGGACTTATGCATTCCATCTCAAGACCTAGCCTCTAGTACTTCGTCTGTTGCCTGCGGCAGGAGCACTCCTAGCATGGGACCGCCACTCCGGATCCCAAGAGCTTCTCCACAAGCTGCCTCCCAAGGCCTTCGACTCAGCAGCCTCGGGAGACAGCTTGGCCTCTCTCCGGTCCGAGGAGGACTTCCCATCTAAAACCAGAACATTCCTCAACACCGACCTGAACGGTCTCACCCCATCCATCAGACTTCCCCCAGCCCGAGGAGTTGGGCTTCTCGTCCTCCTTCCACTCCTCCCTCGCCTTGTCAGCGGCCGGTTGGCCCTCCTTGTCAACGGCACCAGCCTCTGTCAATGACTACTGCTGGTCGTTAGACTTTTTCTTTGCTCACCCTGCTCGGTCGGAGGCTCCCTCTCAGGGCCATCGGCGGAAGAATAAGCCTCCCCTTTAACCGCATGTTCCGTCCTATGAGAGCGGTGATCTACGCAGCAACAACAAAGCCCTATGCACCCACGTGGACCCTCTTCCCATCATCGAATGAGCTGCACTAAGCAAAACGGGACGAGAGACCTCCCGCTCGCCGGACCTGAGAGCGGCCAATCGGTGACAACCAACAACAGACCAGTCGCCAGCTCACCTGCCGCGGTTGTCACCAACGGATGGCATGACAATCAACAAGCCAGAGGGAAATCAACTGTCACCATCAACTCCACAGAAGGTGAACGCAACACCTCGCAACACGCCGACACAACAATTCTCACATATACTCCCTCTGACGCTGTATTCGCAAGTGGCGTTGGGCTTCCCTGAACCTGCGAGGAAAGCCCTTATTTTCGTACAGTGTAGACACAGTAATGACCCTGGGGGCAGCAGAGCCCCATTAGGAGCATAAAGAGGTTCCGGGATGATCCAATTCTGGGCTGGCCTAGAAGGAGGTGGAGGCGGTGGTGGTGGTGCAGGCAGGGGAGGCAGAGGACTCTGGGGCCAGTACGTACTGACCTGCTACATGCTATTCACCAACGGAGTATAATGCATGGATCACTCTTACACTAGCTGTCGATATCGAGCTTATGGATGGCGGCGACTCCTGTGACTTCAGACGGCCGACGCTAGCCTGGTGCCTGGAGGAAAAACGAAAAACTTCTTTCAACCCCGAGGGGCGTCACCCCAACACCGTCCCCGTCTACTTGCTCCCCCGAACATGAGCCCACACGTCCCTCTCATTCTGAGGCTTAGCATTGCAAAGCTGGCAGTAGTAGCCGTCGCCTCTTCTGACCACCGACTCCGGCAAGGCAGCATATGGGACCTCAACCCGTCGAATCTTCTCGGCGGCCGCGGTCGATCTTGCACAAGATGTCGATATCGAGCTTATGAAGGGCGGCGGCTCCGCTGATTTCAGGCGATCGACGTTAGCCTGGTGCCTCAAAGAACGAATCACTAAGGGCTCTTCATTGACTCAGAGGAGCGCCACTCCAACACCATCCCCCTCTCTCCTACTTGCTGCCCTGGACATGAGCCCACACATCGAAGAGCTTAGCATTGCAGAGCTGGCAGTAGTAGCCGTCGCCTCTTCTGACCACCGACTCCGGCAAGGCAGCATATGGGACCTCAACCCGTCGAATCTTCTTGGCGGCCGCGGTCGACTCCCAACCCTCCTCAGCAGGGCCCTGCCAAACCAGGGGATACACGTGATTGAAGAACTGATCACGCCCACCAACCTCAGACAGTCGGCGTTTCTTAACAAGACCTTCCAACGCCCTCAGAGGTATAATCACTAGAGGCTCTTCTACCTTCGTACTCTGCTGGGACGACCCTTGTCCCTACGACAGGACCGCTGCACTAGGCAAGGGCGATCTCTTCTCACCGCTGCCGGGCCCTTCGCCATTCCCTTGAGGGTCTGTATGACCTTGAGACTCGATTCCAGCTGACCCCGACTACATTGCTTTCGATGCCTATGGGTACCGAGCGGACTACCACCAACAGCCGTAGAGTCTCCCCAGG